ATACAGTAAACCCTCAGAGAACCATAAGCAACTCTATTCTTTCTCTTTGCAACACGGTTTTAAAGCAAACCCTATAGCTGTACAAGCATAAAAAAAGCTACTGATTAGCTGTTTCTGTATAGAAATSATATTAGAAGTACTGGTAAGTTTTCTGTTTATTATTTCACTATATCATGAGGCAAGAAAAAAGAAGGAGGCAATACATGAGACAAGCATGATCAAAAGGTTGAACAGCCTCAGTAAAAGCTCTGAGCAAGAATTGTTCCGTGTTCCTTGCATTTACGTAAGATATTTCTTAATGAAYTGTTAATTAAAGATGACACTTTGGTGTACACTGAGGTATTTGTATGTACTGGAKTATTTGTAAAATACCACATATTTAGCTGGGAATTATTTCACTGCTCTGATATATTTGAATTGTGCTGCTATAGGTAACATACTTCCTGTGTTTAGTTTTATATAAAAGCATTAACCTGACATCTCTGGAAACATATGGCTTATACCTGATGGTTTCAGGTTGCTGACATTGCAAATCTAGTTGAGYGTCTTTAAATGTGGAACAGGATTTAGGAGTCTGTGTATAGGTACATATAAATATATATTCAAAAACACAGACACACTTAGAGCTATTCTGAATTTCTGGTTTATGAAGGCAGTAGATGCTCTAATAACTAAGATGAGTCAATGAGTGAAGGTGCAGTGCGTTTCAGCTGGCAGAAGTAAGGTTTTCTGGAACCCTGGTTTTCAGCAGTTCTGTAGATCAGAAGCTTCCATTGAGCTTAGGCAACTGGGCCTGGGCAATGGAAACAGCAAACCTGGGCAAACCAAAACTTTTTGATCCTATAGCTAAGTTAAAGCATTTGCTGACAGCAAAATGAGCGAAAGGCGCATGCTGTCCTCGTTGATGGAGCTGTGTAGCTGACCACAGGGGTGAGGAGCCAATGTGGAAAGTTGTGGCCTTGGTAAATAGCTGTCAGAGGGATAAATCTGACCCATTTCTGATAGTAGGATCCACTTCAGTGGCAGGAGTGTTCTCAGAAAGAGTAATATCTCTAAAATCAAAACGAAAGTTCTACCTCTATAGATTAAAATGCAGACTATTCCTATTCATCTCTCTTTCTGCAGTTTTAAGTATGTAAGTGCTTTACTTTTGTGAGTTGGACTAGATGATCTCCAAAGGTCTCTTCCAATCTCAACCATTCTGTGACTCTGTGCAAAAAAACCACCATTTCAGTACATGCCTCGTTATACGTTGTCCTCACAGTGTTAGCAATTTTAAACAAAGGGCCCTACAAGCCATTTCAGGTCACCAGAAAGAAGAGTGATCGCCTAATCCCATTTAAACGGATAAATCCTGTTAAATGGATACTTGGCGTGGCGAGGAGGGCGCGTGTGGCCGCGCTGCTGCCCCGTCACAAACCTCCGCCTGGCTCCTCACGCCGCCCCGCTCCCTGCCCAGCCGTTTGGGTCAGGAATGGGCCGTGGCCRTGGCCGTGTGCAGCGCTGCCAACATCCTCCCCTCCATGGGGAGCAAGCTGCCCGGCCACCCGGACAGCGATGCGGCCTGCTCCGCGCTCGCCTTGGGCTCTGCCCCGCAGGCCGCCATGGGAGGCCCTGCCAAGAGCCGCTACCTGCCCAAACGCCGCGCTCAGAAATAAACGCTCTGCATACAGAAGCAAACGCGCTGTAAATGCTGACCTGCTTTTCCTGAAGAAAAAGACAGTGGCGTCCCTGCTTGCGCCTCAGCACGCAGCGGCGCATTTCAAAGCGATCCCAAAAAGCGCTGCTAACGCGGCACACGTTTTTATCTCGCTCCTCACAGCMCTTGATGTCTTGTCACGCAATTCCCTCGCACTGGGTTTTTCAGGATGCAAAAGYAGCTCCTGCTAACAAAGCCTAGATGGGACAGGCTTATATAATTTGTAAATAACAGGCTGCCTTGAGATCTGAATCTTTKTCTTTCTCTGTGATTTTACCTCCAAATTATTTATCTTTTGAGCAGTTACGTCTCGTAAATAGACAGTTTTTAGCAGCAATGATCTGCTTTCATATGCCTGAAGAAGTGAAATACTGTCCAGCCAAGGAGAGGATCTGCTTTCTTTAGGCTTCTTAYGAGCAACATTTGTTTAAGTATTCCTTTCCCATTGCTTTTAATCTGCACTGTTTCATGTTTGTCATAATCAGAGTCYTTAGATTTTCATGGAATGTATTTTATTCCTCTCCAGAAAAGTTAAATGCCTCTATTTAAATAGCTTCTACCAGTACACGCAAAACACAAAYGCAATGTAAATAGTCCCTTCTACTAATCCACATCTGGCTGGGAGTAATTACATGATACATGCTGGTTAAGCACAAAAATTTTGAATAGACAGCGTTTTAATTAGCCATGTGCATTGGTTCAGGAGAGAATTAAAATGGGCTCTATTCTAAAAAAGTGATTGTATAAAAATGGCACCTGCTTACTCAACAGATGTGATGCTTATGTAAAGCTACAGTCCTGTGTCCGTGCTGAACTCTTCTGCTGGCCTGGTGGAAAAAGCAAAGGTCCAGGCTGGGATGCAAACAGTTATCCTGCCTCATCTGTCAGGCGTCCCAGTGACGGGGACAAATTTCAGCCTGAGCTGACACTTAATCTCTGTGGAATTGCTGACTTCAAGGGGTGCTGAACAGCTGATGCATACCTGCTGCTTAGGCCTACCCAAGAAGAAAATTTGGGCCCATCTAATTCCAGTTTGCATGCCCAAATGCCAAAAAAAATACTTTCTGATTTCACTTTAGTCTCTTTTACTTACTACCGGATCACATTTCCATCACTCTATGGCCAAATCTCAGATCCTACAGGCACGTGCCTGAATGGAGGATCTGTTACTGTCAGCTTTGCAGAGATTTTCAGCAAATGGCTGAGATTTTCTATGTACAGATGTATTTTAGTGGGTTTTTCAGTGTTCTCACATATCAGCAAGCACAATTGTAAGGATTTCTGAGCACGGGGGCAGCTGGGTGTTATATTTCCCAGCAGCTCTCTTTAGTTCACTTTGGCTGCTGCATACTATCAATCAGATAAAATTATTTTAAAGCCCACAATAAAAAGGTCAATTTTAAATGTACAGCCCTCTTCCAGTCAGTAACTGTGGCTTTTATGTGCATGAACCCCTCTYCAGGTTACATTTCTCAATACATTTTAGTGGTTAATTTAATCTTCCTGTTAAAAGAAATGGAATACCTGCTTTCTCAGCAGGTATATTTAGTAGTTCAGTATTATCATGCAGTAGGTATCTTATGCTACAATATCCTTTAAGATGTGATAATAATTCAGTCATTTTTATTTTAAAAACATGGGCGATTCTATAGTTAGTATTAGCAAACAGTAATTAGATGGTTCAATTTACATTTTGTTAGATGTAAAGTTCTTGCAACATACACACATGCAGAATTTTAAGTATATGCCCCTTGCTGGATCACATTTTCCATAGAATTATTTTAAGAACATAGGTACGGATACTAAGAGCTTGATCAAAAACCCATGAGAAACAACACAGACTTTTCTGCTGGATTTTGAATATGGCTGAAAATTAATAACAATGATCTAATCTGTGTTCTATCTCCCTAGATCYTTGTACGAATGACAGCTTGTGCACATGTATTAGCTCTGAGAGGCTGTTTGTTAGCCTAATAGTGTGAAAACCAGCCATTTCATTTGCACCTAGGAACAGCCTTGGCCTTTGCTTCAATTTGCCTGATCTTTTGATTGAAGTACTTGGAATACATAATTTCATAAATACACTTGAAGCAGTTCCTCCCACACAAACCACCTCCTGTTTCCTAAATCAATCTTACCGTATTATTGAATTTTGAAATATCACTAAAAGACATTATGTTATAATAAGTCAATTATTGAACTGTGCGCCATGTGGACACATTACAGAGTACTCTGTACATTGTACAGATAACTGATGTTTCTGCCTAATTAATGGTAGAATATTAAGAAATTCTTCACTTACAAAATACTAAACAGCTTTCTCCTATGCTAGGAAGATGCAAGTTGTATTATTAACAAGGGGAAATTGATTATAAGTCCTCAAGTAATTCTAGATATTGCTTATAGTGGTTATTCATTTTAATATGCATTATAACATTGCCATAAAATATTTAAGATTGCAAGTATATAGATCCATTCTATTATCAAAAATGAACATATTTCAGAACTTCTAATTAGCAGMAGCTGATTGCTGCAATATGGAGACCCATAAATAGCACATTGACTGATTTTTTTCCTCATCCATGTTGTGATTGTTAACGCTGTACTATTCACGAGACAAGATTTTGAAGGTGACCAAACCGTTAATCTGAAAGTTCTGGAAAGGCTTTCAGACATATGTCAAAATTTCTCCAGCTTTGCCAGTAGGGCTGATAAAAGTTATTATCCCAGCATACAAAATTTGCCCTACCTTTGCACTTCAACCATTATGTATACCAAAAAATACCACTAAATGCCTCTATCATATGCAAAACACAGTTTAGTTCATGCCTAGTATAGGAAATGACTGCAGTATTTGTGTGTCTGATGGCAAAAACTAACGTTTCATAGAGAACTGTCAACAACTTTAATGCAAGAACTACTTTCTCATGCACATGTATATACAGGCTTACATTTCTAATCACTGATTCTTGAGTTTATGGCTTAAAAAAGACCCTGGCTGGGCTACACTGAAAGGAGTAAGAGAAATAGGGAAGAAATGTTAATAAAAGGTGTATTTCTGGATCCAGCTTAATTTCTACAAGTTTCCACAGTAATCAAACAATGCTACCCTGTCTTCCTCTATGCTATTTGTAGGCAGACTTTCTTTTTTTTTCTCTCACTGTATGAGTCTGAATATTGTTCTAATTTATTTTATTTTTTAGTACAGTAACGGTCCCTTTGCCTAGTCTCATAAAAATGCTTCCTTTCTGAGCCTACAGTTACTGAAGTCATCTCATATTGTGTTTTCTTCTCTTTCTAGGTGATGTCATTGTCTATATTAATGAAGTTTGTGTCCTTGGACATACCCACGCAGATGTAGTGAAACTCTTCCAGTCTGTTCCTATTGGTCAGAGTGTCAACTTGGTGCTATGTCGTGGATACCCTTTGCCCTTTGATCCTGAAGATCCTGCCAACAGCATGGTGCCACCCCTTGCAGTAATGGAGAGGCCTCCGGTAGTGGTAAATGGAAGACATAACTATGAAACTTATTTGGAATACATTTCTAGGACTTCTCAGTCTGTTCCAGACGTAACAGATCGACCACCACACTCCTTGCACTCCATTCCAGCAGATAGTCAGCTTGATAGCACATTCCCACCACCTGCCCATGATGATAATGTATCAATGGCTTCTTCTGGGGCCACACAAGCTGAACTCATGACCTTAACCATTGTGAAAGGGGCCCAGGGCTTTGGCTTCACTATAGCAGACAGTCCTACAGGACAGAGGGTGAAGCAAATTCTAGACATTCAGGGATGTCCTGGTTTGTGTGAAGGTGACCTCATTGTTGAGATCAACCAGCAGAATGTACAGAACCTGAGCCATGCAGAAGTAGTGGATATACTTAAAGAATGTCCTGTTGGAAGTGAAACTTCTTTGATTATCCATAGAGGAGGTAAGTTTGGAAAGTCTGTACAATTACGAAAATGTGTGTAAAAGGTTCTAAASCATAAGTCCTGCATATGCTCGCTACAGCCTTGTGTACTAGATGGGAGATTGTTTTTTTGTTTTGGGAGGTGACACTATTAACTTCTGAAAAAGCGGGTCTGCAATTAAGTATATTAGGCAAAATGTAACAGTTYATCATATATTCTTTTTTTTGTGTGTGTTTTGAGTGTCAAAAGTCCCAATTCTGTTTAAGAGTAAAACCAAGTAGAGTATTGATGGGCCTTTTTACTCTGAACAGTTTGTATGATATTTGTAGCAAATTCATACAGTTCCAACTCAGTTGCAAGATTAAGATATAACTGACTATATTGAATAATTAAGGTGGATCAAAATCAGAGCAGTCTGTCAGCTCTTTACAAGATTACTGGTTTTGATAAGCCATTTTACCTCCCCCTTTTCTTTCACTTTGTTRAGTGTGATGCAGTGTTTGTTGTTGTTGTTTCTTTCCTTCTTTCTGGAGAGCAGAAATCCATAGTCTATTTTCCTCTTGTTTTAAAAAATAGCTTCTTACAATTTAGTTTTTCTGAGGAACTTGACATAGCAAGCCTGAATATATGGTGCAGAGAGTCAAGAGTAATCTACAAGGAATCAATAATGACAGAAAGTCATAATACTCCAACTGTGATCAGTAACTTCATAGCTTTTAATGTTTTAGTCAAACATTTTCTTCAGCAGTTTGTGATGAACATTCATCACAACATACAGCTACCTGAAATAGGAAATAAGGTTCAGTATCTTTAATTAAAGGTCATAGTTCCTCTGAAGTCATTTACATGTCACTGAATGATATTTTTTAAAAATCCTATACAAAAATACTTAACACTTTCCTTTTGAAGAGTAGAGGTTTAGAAGTAAATCTTCAGTGTTTATGTTTATCATCATAAAAACTACAAAGCCTTAGAACAAACCAAATCTAGTAATATTTTCTTAAGAAGCAGAAATAATAAACATCATGTGATTCAAATATCTGTAAATAKAGAGAGTCAAAAAGTATTTTTCATGATTGTATGTAAAAGAGTCATTTATAGGAGGCAGAATCTGGAATGAAGAGTAGTTACGAGTGATGAGAAAAGGTCAATTGGTGTCATTGCAATATGTGAAGTTGTGTCGCAGAGATGTTATATTAGTTAAACCTGCTTTTGTTTTACACCCGTTAAAAGTATAGAAGACTGAGGTAAACAGCCTTTTTTTTTTAAGATGTTGACAGGTAAAGGAAGAGAACTGCATAGCAATAAAGAGTATAAAGAGGATTAGAAGTGATAATGTTACCTCAAAAGAYGGATTTTTATTTTGAAAAATGCAAGTTAATCCCCCTCTAAGGAAAATAGTTCAGAACACCAATCTACAGAGAGAAGTGGAGTGTGAAATCCAGTATGCTGAACAAGCCTGAGTGATTACAGGCAGCAAAACAGATATTACAGCTGGACAGTAGCAAAAGAAAAATATCCTGAAGCAGCAACACACTTGAGCCTCGGATATAATTCTGCTCAGTCAATAGAATTTCTTCTAAGAGCTTAGATTCATAAGCAAAACATAGTAAGTTAATAAGGTACTCTTCATTAATTGAGCTGTGGTTACTTACATATCACTGTTGCAAACAGGAGCTTAGCTCAACCCTCACTAAAAAGCAGTGTAAAATTACGCTCTCTTGCACGATTTTTCCAGGCCAGACATGAGACACAGACAGTTACCATGGCTCAGCTAACACCAAATGCTATGTGCAAATGTATAACTTGTTCAGTGAGTCTTAGCCTTGTGTTGCTGGAGGGGTTGGTTTGTTCTTCTTAGATAATGCACGGAAGAGAAAAAGAACATATTTCTTTCACTGCAAAAAAGGCAACCAAGATAATACTAGAAAGGTAACCAAGAAAAAGGTAAAAAAGGTAACCAATACTAGAAAAGGTAACCAAGTCAATACTAGAAAATTTAGAATGTTGTCAGTGTCATCAAAGAAATTYCAGATGTTWTAATGAGATGATACAGCACAARTGAAGGTTTAAGCTTATGAGCAAAAAATTCTGGATATCAAAAATAATTCAGAATAATCAGGTTTTTTTCTTAATGCATTTTCTTAATGTTTGTTAGTCTCTGAAATAGTCTCATTAAAGAAAATGTGGAGGCCCATCCTGTGTGATAGATTCAAGACTAAACAATGAAAAAATATACTGTATGAGACAAGCCTGCTCTATTACAAAAATGCTTACCAGAAATACGAGAACTCTCTGTTCACAAATTTATAGGACCAGGGAATTCATGAAACCAAGTATACGTCTACAATATCTATGGTAATCTTCCTGTCTCCTTTTACAGTAATTCAAGAGAAAATGGCATTTCTTGGATGCAATTCATACYATTGCACTGTAGATGTTTAAATAAGTCACCTAGAAGCGCTTACTTTGCATGACTAACCGTAAAAGGAATTGAAGATGACTAACTCAGATGCCAATGTCTATAACATATCCTACAACATGTGACTAAGAACAGGTGTAATGATTTGGTGATGGGAGATAACCTGAATACAAAACAAAATTCTAGTGTTTAGAAAATGTTCTATGGTTCTAAAATACTTCCTCTGCGACACTGTGAAGCAAGGCAAACCTCTTGTCTGTCATGGATCTGATTTCTGTTTTGCTCCTTTGGATGTGAGTTGAATAATGTGATCATTTCCCATCATTACCCTGTACGTCTGATGTTTAGCATCTCATTTTTAACAAGAACAAAAGAGTGTTCCTGCTTGTGGAAGAGGGAGGCTGTAAGGTCATGTATTGCCCTGTAATGTATTATGTTGCTGATATAAATATGGCCTGACTGCGTAATTCACTGTGACAAATCTGATTTTTAAGTGACTTATATCTCTTACTCATCCAGCAATCTCATCTACATTGCAAACGTTGACTGACTGACACTGAGATACAGCCTCACTACAGGAAGAAAACGTCATRTACAGGAAGAAATACTGTCCTAAGCAATAGCATTTGATAGCATCTAGAAAGTCATTTTTCCTCACCCTTTGGAGATCAGCAGCGTAGGTATTCAGGTGGTGTAAAAGTCTTTGTCTTTCAAAAAGACGACGAGAATGGCAGTGCTCAAACTTGAAGAGGCTGCAAGAGGAAACATCTAACAGTAAACAGGCGTTTGTCATGGGATGCAATTCARTGCTTGGCCATCTGGAGGAAGTCCCACTGGTTTTGTATTGTACTCACTTTAAAATTTCTGAAGCTGAAGCAGTAATTTACCTGCTTGTTTGCTGCTTCTAATGCTTGGTTATGCCATATATCCAGAAAAATAGGAATAATACATACATATTCAGTAGAAAACAATCAGCATTGGTCAGATGAAGGCTGCAAGTGTGTGTGCTTGACAGAGTTCCTACATCAAATGACTGCTTTTTAATGGGGAAATCCAAATGGACTCAGAGAAACTGAAGTACTAGTACTAAACATGTCAAGAGAACTGGCACGCTGTCCATATTGTTYAGTTGTTAGCACTTTCCTGGTGCATGGCTGAAAGGAGCCAGCAGCCACTTTCTCCCCAGCATGTGAATCAGTCCCTCAAATTTAGCAATTTCAATATAAGGGATATTACATTGAGTGCTTTTTCCTTGGACCTCAGCCTCAGATTTATCTGTGTACCACAGAATTTTAAAGCCTTTGTTTTTTGTCCAGGTTTGTTTACAAGATCTTTCCATTCTGATGGTCAGCAAAACCCCTACTTGCTTTTCTGCCTGTACTCCTCACTAACATGTACCTGGTACCATACAAGATAAAGTTGGAGCTAGCACTGTCATCCTGCTAGCACTAGTCTGACCCAGGCAGGTCTAACTGTAGCATCTCCAGGAGGGCTCTACAGCTTTGACTGCTCCTGCAGTTCTTCATTCGGAATTTTAGGACAGTGACTGCTGCAACCCAGAGACCCAGTGTCTTGTAGCTTGCTCGTCTTCAAATCAGAACCAGTCAACAGTACTTAATCCCACGTTCTCCAGAATGATGTAAACATCTTGTATCCAGCATGTCACACTAAAACATCCTCTTTTGATTTCTGATTTATAAACATACTTTGCTTTGAAACCCTTCTGTGAGGTGCTCTGTTGTTCCTGGCTCCATCTACTTTAAAAAAAAAAAAAAAGGCAAACATAACAGTTCATAGGTAAGCTTTTTTGTTTCCATCTCAAAATTATGAGCTTTTTTATATCGGCATAAATTCAACAATTTTCTCAGCACAAGCTCTCTGTAAAAGTGTCATTCACATGCTGGCTTTCGATTTTTTTTCATTTTTGTGCTCATTTTTGTTGCTGTTCCTTAGCTAGTAAAGACACAAATATTTCATGATCAAAAATATAGTTGGGATGCTATATTGTCCAATTCATTGACTTTGCTGTTAGGTGTCATATTCCTTTCTGTCCCCTCAGTCTTAGCCACTTGTTCCATCTCACCTTCCCTACATARAAATCAGTTTGTGCAAGATATTTTCCTAATGGTCTTCCAGACTGCAGGACAGTTGTCTTTCCTACATTAGTTCCATAAATAAAGTCTTCGAAGAACTTTTAGAAAATAATGTTACCATGCGAGAAATACTGATTTGTTGCTTTATTAACATAACTCCTGCAAACACTATTTTCCAGAGTCAGTTTTAGAGAGCAAATCTTGCCTCATAGAGCATCAAATTTTTAGCTGTGGGAACATGTACTCTCCTCATAAACTTCAGATTATTTTCATCCTTTTCTTCCTATATATGGGGATGGTTTGGATTAACCTGAAGTAATTTTTAAGCATCTTGTTTTTATCCTCTAGTAATCAGGCTGTTTTCATAAATATTTATTTTACAAGYTGTAGCAAGTGAAATAAAAAAGTAGTGACATCAATAGCCTAGTTTAAGAAAAAAGACAATCTAAATCTTGTTAGTAAGAGAAATGGTAACATCTCAGTATCACAGAATGATTGCTTTAAA